GGTTCATTTTCTTAATAGTTTCAAAGTGAAGTATCCCCGTCGATCTTGGGAGGAAGGCAATTCTAATGGTGAAATGGAAAGTGGACATTCTTTTGTGTGGAGAAGTTGGCAATGCACACTGTACAGTTCTCTAACAGGTAAGCTTTCTGTTGATGCTCCTTTTTATTTGTTTTAACTGACCATTTTTAACACATGTTTTGTTAGAATAATTGTTTCCAATGTTTTTGCAGTATGTCTAGGAAGTTAGTAAGTGGGCGGGATAACTTCCGGACAATGGTGGAGGTAGGATTTTCACTAAGAGCCCCTTCTGCGGTTCTGCCCCGCTAGCTTGGCCTCAGCTTCCAAGGTGTGTGAAAAGTAAAAATTCCCTAGAGATGACATATGCTTCTATTTAAACAATTTTCTGCTATATTAGTTTTGTTTTTGAACTATTTGTGTTTTGTGTTTCCACTCTCGATTCAATTAATTTATTAATTATTTTTTGCCACCATGCCTTTGTATATATATTAAATATTATAGCAATCCATATTTGTCGTACGTGTCACTTACTACGTGGGAGATTATTGATACATTTTTCATTGTCATACTACATAAACAAATTCTCAAACTTGGTCTGATAAGTAAATACTCCAACTTTAATAGCACACATTTCAAAACATTCCTAGGAACATTCACATTTTTACTCCTACTACATAAGCGTAACCAAACGACAGTACAAGCAAGTCGTAGATAATTAAACTAGGTTTAGAGATGAGCAAAATACAAAGATATATAGCTAGGTTAGGGATCTATGACTAAGAGAAGCAATACCCCACAAAAATTGTTGGTGGGGGTGGGGGTGGGGGTAGGGGGGATGTATCTTTGGATCTTGTTAATTATATTATTGGAATGTAATATTATGTCAAAACAATAATGTGTTGGGGCTTTTAACTAAAAAGAATCATTCGTTAGAACAAACATTTCACGTTCACGCAAGGTCTTAATTCTAGAATAGAATTGATTGCAATTCAAAGAGTGTGACGTAAATTTTCTATTTTAATACAAGCATCGATATTTATTTTCACGATTCAACTCATAAAAGTAGAAGTACTAAGTACTAACTTTATATTAGACAAATTTTATTTGGAAAGTACTAATTTATTATTAACACCTTTTAGTGTAATAGCCAACTCTACCTAGTAGGACAAGTCTCTAACTATATATTAAATCAATATGCAAAAATATGTGTTTATATTCAAGCTAAGAATATATAAACATATTGTCTAGGTAATTAATTACACATTATTATTGGGGTTTAACCTAAAGATACCTAAAGCCACGTCATCCTTATCATCAATGTAATTCTTTTTCATTTCAATTTATTGTCTTACTTTCCTTTTTAGTTCATTCTAAAAAAGAAAATTTTGTTTTCTTTCTGGCAACTTTTTAATTTCACTTTCCACGTGACACATTTAAGACTATGAGATTAGGAGACATTGTGATACATTCAACATATTTGTAATTTAAGATCACAATTTTTTTTAAATTTTTTTTGTATAAATTTCATATCAGGGTGGGGGTGGGGGTAGGGGTAGGGGAAGGGTGAGGGATGTGTACAGGGTCGTAGGCACATCGTGGGTCGGGATGCCCTTCGTCGAAAAAAAATACCGTATATACAAATAAAATAATACACTAAGTGATTAAATAACATATTTTGGACACTCTTGACACAATAGATTGTTATAGCTCAGTGGTTTTAGACTTTTAAATGGATTTCAAACACCTTGTTGTTGTGTGTTCGAATCTCACTAGCAATAATTTTTATTTTTTCCCTTTTTCAAAAGACTTTTTGTTGTGCAATTTCTGAACATTCTTCGTGAAATTTCTGGCTCCGCCACTGAATGTGTAGGTTGGGTGCTTTTTTTTAATTGAAAAATTGGGGGTGGTAGAGGTGCGGGTGGGATGAGGCAGGTGGTGTGGGGTGGAGTGGGTGGGTATGGGGTAGAAGGTTGAAAAAAAATTAAATTTCTTTTTGTATGAGAATTATTTTTAAAAAAAAACAAATAATAGTAATACAGGGATGGGTGGTGTTAGTATTGGGGTAGTAGCAATTTAACATTGATTTAATGTGTTTTGGCTTTAGGAGATTAAAGTGGATTAGAACTATTTTACTCAAAACATATTAGACCGAATTCATATATACCCATATAAAATATGGGTGGATTATAATCCATTCAAATTTGGCTCAATCCAATCATTTGCTATCACTAAATGCAAATAAATAGTCTTAAAACAGGTTGAAATTGAAGATTAAATTGGGTTCAATTAAAAATTATTTTAAAATGTATTAAATTGAAACCAATTCAAATTATCTTGAGTTCAATCCATAAAATTTTGTACGAGCTGAGCGGGTTACCTATATTGCTTTCTCAATTTGGAAGAAAATTGAGGAGCTTTGACAATAAATACCGTCAGATTTCTCTATAACCAACTATATTTATCTAAACATTCCACTATATAGATCAAGTTCTCTATGAAATCGATTTTTCATCCATAACAACATTCTTATAAAAAAATATATTGAACAAATAATGATATTATAAAAAGATATTAGGGTATTAAAAAGTACTCCATTATTGACAATTAAAAACATTACTTTGACGTTCAAACGACCAGAAGTAGTACATTAATATAAAAAATATATCTTTTGTAGGTGAAAATTAATAATATAGTACGAAAGATTTAAATGTAAATAAAAAAATTCATCATTTTATATTCTTATAAAAAAAAAAAAGTAATTGTAAATAGCAAGTGTCGGTGGAAAGGAAAAAAAAAACAGTTTTTCTATAAATAATAAATCCAAGGGGGCAGCTTCCTGTGACTAATTTATAGATTGTTGGATTCACATGGCAGAAAAAGGCAAAAGATAAAAATAGTACTCTTAATAAGGAAGGACACTCGTTCCATAACTGATAAATTTATTGTCATGTAACAAAAAAATTATGAATTTGAATTGTAGGTTAAGACATAGATATTTCGCTCTCTTTTTTCAAATACATCCTACATATAACAAAAGTTTACTATATTGTATTTCTCTCTACTTCGTCATGTATAAACAAAATAAAATTATGTCTTTACTATTAATAATAGTTTTTAACACAATAAATAACACAAAATATCTTTGATAATATCTGGTCAAAACTAAATTTATGAGTTCTATTTTTAAGATTACCACAATATGTGTGGCATGAATTGAGGGAGGGAGAGGTTGTTGGATGAGGTTAATAAAATGTGTTTTAATAAAATATGTTGAAGATGATTTGAATCGAAATCATGATCAAATATAATATTTAATTTAATAAAAGAGTTTACTGAGAAATAAAATTATAGGTTCATTTTGTCTCTGCACCCTTATCTTCTTGGAACAGATGAATATATTTGATACATACAATATTGTCGATAGGTCGGTATATATAGGACAATATAAAATAGGATTTTGTAGCTAGTTTGTCTTTTTATTGCACTAGTATCCTCAATATTTTCAATTATTCGGTATTGAATTGATTAATTTTGAGTAAACGTAAATTAAAAAAAAAAAGTTTCATATTAAAAGAAAAATATTTTAGACTTTGAATTAATCACTCTCATCCCACTAAAGAAAAATATCACTTTCAAAGTTTGTATAATTTTATTTTTTTATTTTATAGAAATTACAAGATTATTTTAAGGATGTCCTCGGCATTTAGGGATTATGAATAATAATAATAGAATCTTGTTCAATAAGTGAAACATATTAGTTATCATTTTTTCTTAATGAAAATTACTCTAAAGCGATTGCAATAAAGAATTGATCTGAAATAATACATTTCATCGCAGATAATACCATTTCACAAAGTATGTATCTAAATAGGTCAAAATCTCGATAGTTAAGTTAACTTTGGGCCTAAGTATTTTTCCAATACTTCCAATACTTCTTAATATAGTATGACATGAAGGCAATAATACAAAAAGAATAATAAAACAAAATAATTTGATTGTGATTCGAAAAAGTTGAATAGTTCATATCCTCAATGGTTATAAATTTTCTAACGTAACATATAGTCCATTAAAGTTTCCATTTGAGTAAAAACAGCTTGTGAGTTCTATGCATCATTACATATACTAAGCCAAAAAGAGGTTTATTCTAGCAAACTTTTTTCGTCAAAAAATTATATTAATATATAAAAAATTAATTTTTATTTATATATGAAAAACACTTTTTGTATTTTTTTGTTTTAGTTTTGTAATTTCTATGTTTCAACAATAGTATATTCTTCAATAAAATTAAATATTGCCTTAAATAACAAAAACATTAGCTAGAATTCAATGCATCTAAAACCAAACTCAAACTCTCAAAAGGTAATAATGAAGCTATAGATCTATATTAGTACTATCCTATTTCTTTTTTTATTTTTATTTTTTTTGGATAGTGCAAAAGAATAAAGAAATAAGGAAACGTTTGGTAAAGTGTATTAACAAAAATAATGTATGCATTAACACTTTGTTTTAATAGTCCTTTGTTTGGTACACTTTTTCATGCTATATATAACTAATGCAAAAATTACTTATACACTCTATTGTATATTGAGGAGTGTATTGTTAATATGATGAATTTCTGGTATTAGTAATATAAAAGGATTTAATACATGCATTAGCGTGATTAAAGACTCAATTATCCCTCAAAAACACTTTTACATCTTTTCCACCATAAAACTAACCATAAAACTGGACAATACTTTTGTAAATAAATATTTTTATTCAATATATATTATTTTTAAAACACCAAACCAAACAATGCAACAAAAAATAATCTATGCACAATTAATGCAAGTATGTCTAATACAAACATTATTAATATATTTTATTTAACATTATTTTTATATATTCAATGATCCTAAAAAGAGGAAAAGAAAAATAAATAATTAATCCAATTTTTTATTTTTATTTATTTAAAGAAAGAACAACTTCTTAAAAGGGTGGAAAAGAGCAAAATAAAAGACTCCTCTCTCTCTGTTTTAGAAATTTCATTGTTTTGACAAACTTTGATTTCTCACCAAACTCCATTGTTTTTTTTTTTAGCTTAAACAGTGAAACCCCACAAATCAATACTACTCATTACAATCTTGAATCATCAATAGAGTGAAAAAAGGCAAAAATATGGAAGGGGGCAATAGGAGGAGGAGCAAATCATCAAGAAATAATGGTGTTGTGGCAACAGGTTCAGTTTGGGAGAATAGAATGAAACTTGATGAAGTAAAAGGTGGATTCAAAGTGTTTAGTAATAGTAGTATTGAAGAAACCCCAGATGAAAATGATGACAAAGATTGTGTTTTTAATACTCAAGTGGATGAAAAGTTGGATATGGGGCCAAAAAGAGAAAATCTTGATGTTGGGTTAGTGAGTGGAAAGAGAAAAACTTGGAAAACTACTGAGAGTTTTGAGGGGAACCCAATTCAGATTGCTAGTAAAAAAACTGATTTGAGCAAAATTTTGGATGAAAAAAGTAGAGATTTGAGTGTTTCTGCTGATGGGGTTGCTGGGATTACAAAGAAAACTTTGAAAAATGAGAGTTTTGAGGGGAACCCTTTTCAGATTGCTAGTAAAAAAACTGATCTGAGCAAAAATTTGGATGAAAAATGTAGAAATTTGAGTGTTTCTGTTGATGGGGTTGTTGGGATTACAAAGAGAACTTGGAAAAGTGAGAGTTTTGAGGGGAACCCTTTTCAGATAGCTAGTAAAAGATCTGATTTGAGGAAAAAATTGGATGAAAAACGTAAAGATTTGAGTGTTTCTGCTGATGGGGTTTGTAAAAAAGTCCCAATTCAGAGCAAGAAAAGTTCTGAGCTGAGAAAGCTGAAATCTGATAAGTCTGTTAATGGGAATGTGAAAAAATCCAATCTTGAGGAGTCAAGTAAGAATCTTGAAGGATCAATTGGGATTAAGAAGACAAAATCAGAGGAGTTTGGTATTTGTGAAGAGAAATTTATCACAAGCAATGCGGTATCTGAGGTTGAATCTGTAAATAAATTAGAAAAGAGTCTTGAAAATGAAGATGATGAAGAATGGGACGACGTATTGGAGGAAGAAATCGACGAGGGAAATGATAAGAGAAGTGTTGAAGTTAAAGAAATTAGTGTACAAGAACAGAATAAGCTTAAAAAGATTGTGATTGAAGAGAAGAGATTTCAGTACAATAATAAAAGGCAAATGCCAATTTCTTCAATTAATATGAAACAGTCCCTTCCTACTTTTGTCAATGCAAATATTCATCAAAGTGCAACAAGAACCAAATCAGGTAAAATGCCTGCATTTCCTTTTATGTTATGCTTCATTCAATGTTTGCTCGGATTCTCCAAAAATGTTGTTGTACATGTGTTGCATCATCCAAAAATGCGCTACTTAACTTATGTTTCATTGACTCTTTGTTTTCGAAGCTTGATTTTGAATTCATTTTTGAATCTTGTTGCATTTTCAGATGAATTCCAGTCTAGACAATATAGCAAATTACAAAGCTTGGGTAAGTTCAATCTCTTAATATCATTTTAGAACTCAATGTGATACTGCATCTATGGTAAAATTTATTCGTGTTCGCTATTTATTCTAAATCAATGAATGCATGACATGTATCTTTCATACACACATTTGTCACTTGAATTCAAGCTACTTGCACCTATTATTTATAGGTCGAATGTCCTCACCGCTTACTGCCCCTGCCCCTCTATTAAAATGTTGGGCAAGTGGTGGGGAATTACCGGTATTCAGTACGAACAGAGTGAAAACTGATCATACCTTTCGGACTTTGGCATTTCCCTATTACCCATATCCCATAGAAACTGACCTCAATAATGTTCGCAATCATACCTTAGTTCAGGATCTACATACGAATATGTAGGAGGAGCTACTGCCTTCCTGCTAATCGTTTCAAAGAAAAAGGAAACGAAACAATGAAAATTCACTTCATTAGTATTTCCTCTTACACATATGTTGGAGCGGGAGCGGGCACTAACTTTTGACCAGCATTGACCAACTCACTCACCTGGACTGGCCTAGAATTGTTTGGAGGGGAAGTTTAATACATATCTCACTTTAATTCTTAACTGCTTAAGTTACATTGGTTAGTTAAGTACAAACATCGTGTCCTTCAGGGTAAGCAACTACGCTGCAACTATTAGCTCTGATTTTCTATTAAAACATTTTCTGCAGTTGATTTAGTGATGTGGAGAAATGTATCAAAATCAGCGTTAGTCTTTGGAATTGGAACATTTGTTATCATTTCATCTTCGTATACTCAAGATCTCAATATCAGGTAATTGGGACCTTTAACTCAAAAAAAAATCAGATTTCTATTTCTTTATTCTTGAATCATTTTAACAAAATATATTGAAGTGAACTATTCTTAATAACGGCGTTTTACAGCTTCATTTCTGCACTCGCCTACTTGGGTCTGATCTATCTTGCTGCAATCTTTCTCTTTAGATCCCTCATTCACAGGTATTATATTGTAAAGTTATTTAAATTAACATGCATTGGCAGTGTTAAATTTGTTTATATTATCAATGCAATTTAACTGGTTATAACAAGTTATTATTACCGTATTTTGTTGGTTGCATATCATATTTTCTATAAAGAGTTTACCTATGTTATAAGCTATGTTGTTCGGTGTCTCTATAAATGTTGTGACACTCGTGTATGATCCTTAAAAATGTACTACTTTTGGAGGATTCAACACGCACTCATTGACTTTTTTTGAAGAGACCGAGCAACATAGGTTATAAGTCAGTTTGATCTGATGGTATAAAAAATTTATACACCATCAGTGCACAAAATTAAGTTCATTGTAAAATTACCAAATCTTGATATTATCCAATAACCTTTGTCTACCATTCGAATTGATTTTTATATAGTCTTTTTTTTTTTTTTTTGTGTGTCTGTGTCTGTGTAAATAGGGGAGCTATTGATATTGGTGAATCAAGTGAATGTGTAGTAGGCGAAGAAGAAGCACTGTGGATACTGAAATTGATTCTTCCTTTAATAAATGAGTTTCTTTTGAAAATCAGAGCCCTTTTTTCTGGGGATCCTTCGACTACAATGAAGGTAAAGAAAAGTTCATACATTTCCATTTGATATCAATGTTCTTTATAGTTTTTCCATTGTCCGCACTTGATGTTTACACCGAATCTTATCAGTTATTATAATTAAGTGATTCAATGATGCCAACTTGTGTGCACGTTGACTAATTACACGGGGTACCTGCTACCTTCCACCAGCATAGGTACAAAGTAATTCAATCGAGAGGAAAAAAAACATAAATTAATCATGGTTAAGTAATAGAAGTTATGTTGCCTGGCCTCTTCAAAATGCGCTTAGTCCATGATAGATCCTCCAAAACTAGTGCATTATGGAGGATCCAATACAGGTGCAACAACGTATTTGGAAAATTCGAGCAACATAGGATAGAAGTCTATGTGCCAAATATATATCATGTGTCTATTGGTTGCTATAAATATCAAGTGCAGATAAGTTTTATTGTTTTTCCATGTTACTTCAATTATTTTCCTAATCTTGTGAACTTGTGGGAATTTGACAAAATTTTACCTCTGGCAGATGGCAGTTCTGCTGTTTCTTTTGGCTAAATTTGGCAGCTATATAACTATTTGGAAACTGTATAAATTGGGTGAGTTTTTTCTCTAAATGTTATATATATAAACAGTTCAAATAAAACTTGTTCTAGTTTTTTCTTTTTGATTTTTCAGCAGACAATAAATACGAAAAAATTATGCAATATGATATGAAACTCTTATTGAACCCCTATTTTGCAGGTTTTTTTGGAGTTTTCTTCATACCAAAAGTGTGCTCTTCTTATTCCACACAGTTAACCTCTCACGGTAAGAAAGAAAAAAACTATCGATTCATTTTGTTTAGCTTCTTAAACATTTACCACCACTACAACAACGTAACAACATATCCAGTGTAATCTCACAAGTGGATCTAGAGAAGGTAGAATATACGCAAAACTTACATCCTTACCCCTATATTTGTGGGGGTAGAGAACCTGTCACCGTTATAGTTATAATTATTTTAAAAATCTATCATAATCTTAAATGTCTATTCAGAAAACTACAACTTTGATTTGATAGTGAATATCATTATTTTAAAAAAGGTTCATGTATGTGTGGATATATAATACCGTTGGTGTGGGGCTAATTTGCCATAAATCATAATCAAATTTTGGCAGTTTTTGTCACAAGTATGCAGAGGTAGTACAACATGTAGGGCTTTTGCCATAACCAAATTTTGGAACATCTAATAAAGTTATAGTACACGGTGGCGGAACATTTGTTTATGTTGTTCTGTTATATGTTAAACCAAAGTCAAGGGTCTACCAGAAACATATCCTCTCTACCCCACAAAGGTAGGGGTAAGGTCTGTGACTTTGTGTTGCGTTCATTCTACCCTCCTTAGACCTTGCTTGTGGGACTACATTGAGTATGTCGTCATTATTGTTATGTTATATAGACCAATTAATAATGTACTTTGTGAATTATTTTTTATGTGAAGGTACATTTTTTATAAGATACATTAGAGATGCTTGGGAATCATGTACTCACAAAAAAGCTATTGGATTTGCAATCTTCACATTAGTATGGAATTTCTCTTCAATCATTGCCAGAATATGGGCAGGTAAAAATAGTATCTATAACTTTTACATGATACTCCCTCTGTTTTAATTTTTGATATTCTTGTTGTTCGAACTTTTCAAAAATATCGCCACGTGCGTGTCTAATCCTCCAAAAATGTCACGTCTCGAGGATCCAACATAGGTGCAACAATGTTTTAATAGAGTTTGAGCAAACATAGTTTGACTTTGCATGGAGTAATTCATGATATCATTAAACATGACATAATATAACTTGTCGATATATGGTATTACACATATCATAACATTTTTATAGTTATAAAAGCTTCGCATTAAAGCTAAAATATGAAGTTTAAAGTTAGTAATTGTTATCAAATATAGAAATGCATCGTTTTTTAAAAACAAATTAAAGAAAATAGTGTCAAGATATTTGGAACGTGGGAATTATTGACTACACATACCTAGTTTAATCTCACAAGTTGGGTCTGGTGAAGGTGGTGTGTACACAGCGTTATCCTTATCTTGTGAAGGTAGAGAGGATGTTTTCGATACACCACGAGGGAGTAATTGAATGTTTTTTTATTCAAATATTTAGTTAACAAAATGAAAAACATTATTATACTGACAAATTTTACAATTTATTTTTGCAGTGTTCATGTTATATGTGGGCTTATGGTACTATCAACAAACCTTGATGAGACAAGACACTACTACTACTATAAATGGTGATGATTTTTTGCAAGGAAAAATTAGAGAACAAAGACAAGTTGGGAAAAAGTCCAATTTTATGGATACAAGAAAGCAAAAGAAAGCATTTTAAGTTAATAAATAGATTAATATTATTAAAAAAAAAATTGTATTAATTGGTGATAGATAATTAACATGTATTATACATGTCTTGTTGCTCATTTCCCAACCATTATCTTTTGGTAATTAATTTTTTGTTCCTAGTGTACATAATCAACTTGGGCTAATCATTCTTTTGGCAATAAAAATGATTTTTTTATTACTCTTTTCTTTTTACTTGGTTTTGGTATGTTGGTAGCCTATGTTCTAATACAAATTAACCAATGGTAAGCTTTTTTGCTCATGATATATTAAATAAGGATGGTGGTGGGGCGATAAATATTATTTCATAGTCAGATTAGGACATGAAGTGGTCTTTGTTCGGATTGTTTTATTAAGACTTTTCGATGTGAATTTGTATTTAGTCAGACTCAATGCAGATACTTTACATCGAGTCGAAAACTTAAAAAATTGTGCATCATTATGCCTTTATGTTTTCTTCATTTCACAACAATTCTTCTATGGCCCAAATAGTTATATAGCATCAATTATACTCTTTTTGAGCTTTGAGTTATGTCACCAAGCCCAAGTGCAAGTGCCTAAAGTCGTATAAGAGCTCTAGTATAACAATCTTGTTATGTGCAAAACTTATTTATTTCAAATTTTACTAACTTATATTAAAGTGTTTATCTTGCCATTCAAATTTTAAATTTTATTTCTTAATTGTCAATTCAAATTTGTGTTCTTTATAATTTATATTGGAAAATAGAGGGAAGAAAAGAAATGTTTCACACGTGGCTACCATTTTGTAGCCTTTTTAAAAGAAATTGAAATTAACATGTATTTATGGAAATTGTGGGAATCTGGGAATAAGTATATTCCCCATGTATTGGGAAACTTTGTCATGTACTCCCTCCGTCCCATTTTATAGTCATCTTTTTACTTTGCACTTGCATTAAGAAATGATATAACTTTACCTTTCTACCTTTATTTAATGTTTTCTTAAGTCAACTTTATAATAAATGATGAATACATTTTCAAGAATAATTAACTATTCTATAAAGGGTATAATAGGCAAAATATGATAATTTATGCATAAATTTTATAAAATGACAAGTATTGTGATTCAGTTATTTATAGAAAGGAATGACATATAAAAAGAGACGGAGTGAGTTGTTAATTGAATTGTGATTATGGACTTGCACAAACTCCTAAATATGCCATTGGATTTGTCACACTAGGTCTGACATAGTAACAACCAGTAAATACTTAGAAACTGAGCTACGTACCTTAGCGATTTATTAAATTCATTAAGCAAGAAATCAAGCTAAGAGCGAGACAATTCAATTAAGCTCGGTTTGTATTGATGCATAATATTTTGGTATAATATCCCCTCTTTTTAATTAAAAAATAAATAATAATTAAGGTATAAAGAAGGGATAAGGGTCTGAAAAATATCTCAACTTTGATCGAATTTGTTGTTGCGATACTAAACTTTCATAAGGACATATTACCTCCCTAGACTATTTAATACCGTATTTCTACCCCCTGAACTATTTAATAATGTATTTTAAAGGTATATATGTGCCCACGTGGAGACATTTACTATTTTATAATTTTGCATTATTTTTTATGTCCACGTGGGAAAATATATATGTTTAAAATACGGTATTAATAGTCTAGGGAGGTAATAGGTCCTCATGAAAGTTTAGTATCGCAACAGCAAATTCGACCAAAGTTGAGGTATTTTTCAGACTCTTATCCCTATAAAGAAAGCTGCAAGATTTAGATTTCCCCAACAATTTGCTAGTTTTTATTTGGAAAAAGAATGTATCTATCAAAAACTCTAGCATTCCCCACCAGGTGGATTCAGGATTCATTTGATAGGGTCAATTTTTTAAATTTTCAATATTAAAATCATTATATTGTTAAAATTATCAATTTCGATCTAATATTTATTAAGATTCTATATATATATATATATGTTTATACTTTGTTATTAAAAGGTATGGATTCAGTTGAATCAATGGTCAAGAGGCGGCATCCACGCTTGACCACAAATCAGCTGAATAATAATGTTTTTATTTTTATTCTTTTAATTCAGTCCAAGAACTGTAATTGTCATATTCATTTTATCATGACAAAACAACTATATGTATATATGGTCCATGTACCATAACAACTTAACACGTAATCCATCTTAATTATAATTTATAAAGACTAGTCAACCGGGGTTCGATCGATATAGTCTTTTGATTACGGATTCATATAAATTTTAATCATAGCATTTCGACATATATATAAAAAAAATCTATTGAAATTTATAACAAGTATATGATCTGAATTTATTATTTTAATATTATAATAAATTTAATATTGAAAATTTTGAAAAAAAATATTAAATCTGTTACAATAAAATTTTGAATCCGTCTCGACTAGCTAGATGTTACACACCACCCAATCTTAGATTGATATGGACTTAAAAACATTCACTATGTTTTGTCTCTCAACTTGAGAATTCTTATGTATTAAGGGGTTAATAATCAAAGTATAGAAATTGTTTGGTGAGTGGTGCATATATATTATAGATTTTATTCCCCTATATATCTAATATTTATTTGTTTTTCTTTTTTATACGATAGTAGTAGTGTTTCTTTCTACTATTTTCTTCTTTATTGTTTTCGGTATGAATTTTTTATCATTATATTTATTTTACGTAATTAACTTTTGATATGCTTTATTTGATCGATGATTTATTAAAAACAAGTTTTTCTACTTTTTTAAGATAGGAAATAATATTACATATACTATACACATTATTCATTTCAGACTCTACTTGTAAAATTACATTAAGTATATTATTCGTCATTATTTAATCGACTTATACCTATTTCACATGGCACAAATTAAATACACGTAACATGCAAACCCACATGCATGCGTGTGTGTTTTTGCTTTGCTTTAACCTCAAACATTATAATGCAAATTAACCACTTAACCAAATGAAGCACTACACGAGTAGAATCGATTTGATTTAGAGTCGATGAATTTAGAATAAATAAAAATTTAAAAAATGAAGGGAAAAAATTAGCATTGGATCGTGCTTCTCTTTTTAATTATTGGACATGTACAAAATACAAATTATAATTGGTTGAAGGAGTGAATTCTGAATATAAGGTGGATAATTTTTTTCAAAATAAATGAGATTATATTATATTTATATATTTTTAATATCTTTTTTACACATATATATAATTTAGTTAAACTTACAGAATTTGCATTTGTCTTTGATAGATGTTGCTCCAGTAACTATCATTTATTTGTTGTTATTATTGAGGCAATTCGAATAAAGAGTCAGGATCAAACTAAAATTAAAGTAATAAGCATAATAATATATTTATTCATGAAAATTAATAATTACATTTTAGGAAACAATTACGTGCAAGTAAAAAAAATTATCGGTTTATTCATGACTACGTTTTCAAAGTCACTTCAATTTGATTTTAAAAAATAATAGTCACGTTACATCACGACATACTCTATTCTTCTAAATGATGCGTCCCTATTGGTATGTGGCATTAATATAGACAGAGCCAGAATTAAAAGTTTACGATGAACAACGATGGTTATCAATTCATGTTTTAATTATTAAGTTTGCACTTCTATATATATATAACATTGACAGATAACGAAGAATCATCGAAAAAAAAGGATTACATTACTATGAAATATACAATGGATTCAATTCATTAGGAATTAGAAAGACGACATTTTTCTCCGAAAAGTAAAGATAAAATTTGATATCGTAATTCTTTCTTCTCTCTTTTATTTTTTAGGAATCAACGAATTTTCTAATATAAACAAGTCTTAATACTAAAAGCTATTGAATTCTTCCGAACCTACGTATACCTCTTATCATGGTTGTTAGATTAAAGAAATGACATAAAGTTGTGACCTATCGCAAAATGTTATGACCATTAACTACCAATAATTAAATAGATGTTTCGTATGTTAATTTGCTATAAGTCTAATCCTAAATTATTAATGTATATATGTGCTAAGTAATATATTTATGAAAAATCACCCAAAATGTTTTCATGTTTTTAATTATTTTTTGTATTTTAAGTTATATGCACTGATTTTAGTGTAACCTAACCTATTAATCAATAGCAAATTTATTACCATTTGTTTTTGGGTTATCAATTCAAGTTATTAAATAGAATTACTTTAGTAACCTGATAATATAAAACTTTAGCTAATTTTTGTTTGTGAACCATAAATTTGTGAGAAGATTACAATTTTAATTATAGTGTTAGTATATTTAAGCATTATTAAATAATATGGAGTTGACTCGAGTGAACATACAAAATTGTAACATAAAGAGGAAGATTTTGTTTCTACTTTCCAAATTTCCTTTTGAGCTTATTATATTATCAATGTTGTGTCATAATACAGTCAAATAATATGGAGTTTGAATATCAAGTGAATATACAATATACATTGTAACATAAGAGGGAGTTTTCGTTTCTACTTTCCAAACTTTCTTTTGAGTTATATTATCAATGTCTTGTCATAATACAGTCAAATCTCTTTATAATAACAACGTTACTCATATACCTGATTTCCCTTTTCAACTTGATGAGACATCCAATATTCAATGATAGAAGCAAGAATATTTCTACATCAATTTTATTAGCCTGTCGAAACAGATGAAAATAGGTGGTATGTTTCTGTTTGTTTGGTTCAAGAAAAAGACAATAACTCAATAATGATAGTAATAATATATTCTTCAAATTGATATGATTTCTATTTAACTTTATTCAAAAATATTATTTTTATAAAATTTTAAAATATTTATTTCAAAATTTTAAAATTTATTCTCAACGACGACAATTTTTATAATCACATAAATATTATAATATTTGTAACATTAAATTTTATGATTTTTCTTAAATTATGTGTTCAATTGCATAAAATAATAGAAATTTGGGTAGGAACAGAGGAAACAAATAGTTGATTTGTTAGTAATAATATGTCTTCAATAGCTCACATCACATGGTTGATTGATTTCAATTTAATTATAAAGTATAAAAGATTCCATAATAATTCAAGTGAGTGAAAATAGTTCCTCCAAGATAAGGTTAGGTCATATGTATATATTTTTGGAGTGTAACTAATTAATAGAAATTTTGGTAGGATAGAAGAGACCTACACCAAGATATGATGTTACAATATTACATTATAATTCACGCAAACTCAATAACTTTCGTTTATTATCTTGTTTTTATATTAGAAAATTATTATAATATTTAGTCACAAACCTATATCAATAACTAAAACAAGCTATGATTTTGATGATACGTTTAGAAGTATTTATGAACTTTAAATCCTGATTTTACTTATGTTTTACACAGTAAAATCATCTCCATGAAGGTCGAATTTAACATGCAATCACAGGTTAATGAAAAAACACACACACATATATAAATAAATTATTTAACTGTAAATCTTAATATTATTGTACATTAACTTAATTATTATAAAAAAAAAATCATAAATTTCAAGATGTCTATCATTACCTTAGCCTTACGTAATACTACTAGATAACTAGTTATATTTTGAAATTATAGATTCACTTTTTATGAATAATTAACTCTAAATATTTATTAAAGTAATCTAATATTAAAAAGGACTACATTAGCTATGTATTTTTAACAATATTCATTTTTTTATCAAGAGGTTGGTTGTCCATATAATACTACTTCATTAATTATGGGGAATTTTTTCAACGAAAACATTTATTACAAACTATATTAAAAGCTGTAGAAAATTAATTAATTTTACAGTATAGGCAGTATAATTGCAGAGCACATGGTATTCTTGTGGTGGTAAAAGAATACAAACAAATAAATATTTCCTTTTAATATCGTCCACAGTTTTATAACCTTTAGATTTCGGATGGATATCTCAATATTGAAAAAAATAAAAATCATAGAGTAATGAATTTAAGTAAATTCTGAATACTAGATATGATTTGTATTCAAAATCAACTAGTGAGATGATGCTTCGAGAGGGAAACAATCAAAAACACTAGCTAAATTCTTAAATAACCGTTCAGTAATAAATGAGATGAGATTACAGAAATAACTAAGAGATTTTACCTAAAATAACCATGCTTAAAAGAGTGCATAATAGCTCACTGATTGAGGAATATTGTGTCGACGATGAATATATACTGTTAAATAATAAAATAATCAAGAGGTTTTGCCTAAAAATAGTTACACTTAAAAGAGTGATAATAGCTCACCGATCGAAATTTTTTGTGTCAAAGATGAATATCTACAGTTAAATAATAATTTTTTATCACTAATTAATAATAAATTATATTAGTTACAAGTTATTTAGTGATTGATTAAAGATTAACTTCTTTACTTCTAATTTATCTTTAACGTTTATATGCCCTACTTAGCCATGTTTATTGGCTTAGAATAGATTGAGACTCGACTAATTAAATTTTAAGATCTAATTATAGATTGAAAGCAAAATATCATAAAAATGACTTTTTTGTTTTTGTTTTTAGATGGATTCTTTTATAATAACTAACTGGATGAGCTGAATTAGTAAGAAAGTATTACATTCTATCTTTAAAATCGAGCTTAGATAAAAGTGAGCTTCTCAATAATATCTCTTTTTTAAAAAAAAAAAAAAACTCTCATCTCTAACTATCAAACACATGCATTCCGTCTCAATTTCAAGTTACTTAAAATCAATTATATATGAGTCCTCACCGATTATATCAATATTGTTTCATTATTTAAATTGATCTCAGACCAATATTAAAAAGAAAATACAAGTATTAAAAATCATTATATATAATTCTGCTGACATATGATAAATCATTATAATTTAAAGATGCATTGTATATAGAAAAAGAAGAAATACATTTTATTTTCAGTTGAAGAATCTTGGAAACCCCCCCATGTGGTGAGTTGTTATTTCACTTCCAATATTCTAATTCAAGAGACTTAGAAAAACAAAAGCCAATATATAGAAAACAAAATAACAGAAAAATACAAATTCAAGAGTGACAGTTCATTGTTTTTATCAAAATTAAAAAAACAAAAAAAATAAAAATTAAAGGGGTTAAAACTAGTGAAGGTTGGATCCTAGGGTTTGTTTAAAAAAAAAAAAAGTGCAGGTAGAAAGGGCATGAAAAGAGGAAATGAATTATAAGGTGGAAAATCAAATTCTTATTGATAAGGTGAAATTTTAGGTAGTCAGTTACTAATATTTCTCGTTCGATTTTAGGGTGACTTATTTTATTTTTTTTGCTTTAATCAACTAGTATTGGATTTTATTGGTTGGCGATTTTAAGTGCTATTTCCTCCGTTTCATAATAGATGAACATTTTCTATATTACACGTGATTAAAAAAATATTATAGATTGTTCAACTTTACTATTTTACCCTTTGTTAATATCAATGCACATAACATAAAGCAAAAGAATAGCTAATATTGGGAATTGTTCACATTCAAAAGGTTATATTAATTGTAGGGGTAAATTAAAATAGAAAAATAATAATCAATACTATCTTGATTTATTAAGTAATCAAGTAATATGCTATAACTATTTTTAGTACGATGTCCATCTAATATGGCAATCTATATATGTGTATATTTAATAAACTTTTAACTCATATACATAAGATTTGATTCAAGCTAAATAATGAATTATGTTGAATCGATACTAATAGTGTGTACTCGCTCTGATGCGCATGTGATTTATTAAGAGGAAAAATACTCTCTATCAAAAGTGATCTCATTTATTACACCACGTCAATTATATATTGATGTATACTATCTTTAAGAAGGTGTTGAATAGTCTATTTTGGGTAAAACTTACTCACATCGGGTATACATCAAGCCAATACACGCATGTCATGTGTTTAAATTTATAGTTCATTTTACTTAACCATAATTAATTAACATGTGCTTAATATATATATATTAGAATAGATTGTGCGGACCTTAATTATTAAACTTTTTTTTGTTTTCAATCTAGTGTCCGGAGTTCATATTGAAGCTCTGATTAAATTTGGATCGCGTATTGTAGGGCTCCTAACATGATTTTCAACCCGAGACCTCGTGTTAACCTACTAACTCAGAATGCATAATAATTTTGATTGGTAGCTAGGAGTTCTATATATTGAACCTATGTGCTAAAATGGTGTACAAATTAAATTTGTCCTTTTATACCTTTTTTTTTTTAATTAATAAAATCAAGAGTACAATAATTCAGTTGATATTCATCTAAAGTGAAATTTCTAAGGAGCTTCTTAATTATTTATTCATACCCCATGAAAAATATGATTATTTCAGAATTTTCTTTCTATTTATGATTACTAATTAAGATAAATATTGAGCCAACAATATTAAAAGAAAAAAAAACTTTGTTTACCATGTCTAATTAGTGCAATTTACCTATTTAGGACGCTCTATATAATTTTTCGAAGAATATACCATCAAATAAAAATACATAATAATATACAATCTACCATATAAGTATTATTCGTCATATAATAATCGTTACTTACTATATAACAATACTTATATTTCATTGACGATCTAGCCTTAAAATACTGATTTCACCTGAATTCAATAACACGAACTATGTATCACAAAAATGACATCTATTTTCACTTCAATTCCGTAACATCTAACTCGATTTGTATAATCACTCGATGGGAGTAAGTATTTATCGAAGCGGAAATATTGCAGGGGCAAAATAGTCATTAACATCCAAAGAGGCGGTTACTGACTCTTTCACTTCAATTATACTGATTCCAAGCGGCTTCAAATCCACGCGTCCGCTTTTTATTGCTACGTAAAACAAGGAAATTCCCATGCAACCTGTAAGAATACGACACGTGTCGAACAACCAAACAACCTCATGTTGGGTGACAAAAAGACAGTATTACCCTTGAACCGACTATAAATTCACCTTCAGTTGCCACCACTTTTCAGAAATTGCAGAAACCTAAAGAAGCTAAGCCGTCTTTGAGTTTTACAAACCCTAGAGAGAGAAAACCTAAATCCAGTTTTTGGTTCCGATTTCGGGAATGCAGAGAGATGAGAGGCAAATCCCTTTTTTCTAGTTTGATTTTAGGAGGCTTTAAGCCCCAAATTTCACTCGCTGGAGGAGGCCGGAATTGCCATCGGAATTGTCACCGGAAACACGTTGAAGACGGGTGAACTCACTCACCCAACACCCTTTTCCACCTCAGTTATAAACCCATTTGTTTTTTCTTAACAAAAACTATATACCCTTTTTGAATTTCGTTCGTCGGCGGCCGGAGTTTCCACCGGAAACACGTCGGAGACGAGTGAACTCACCCCCCACCCCCCTTTCACTTCCATTTAAACCCATCAAAATTTTTTTTCAAAAATCGAACACCCTTTTCGATCTTGCTTCAGAAAAGTTCCCCGAACCAGTGTTTTATAATGGGGCCAGAAGAAAAATGTGCTGTTTTGTATGGTAAATATGAGCTCGGACGAGTTTTGGGTCAAGGTTCTTTTGCTAAAGTTTACCATGCTCGTAACGTGGTAACAGGGGAGAATATAGCAATGAAAGTTGTTGGAAAAGAGAAGGTGATAAAAGTAGGAATGATGGAGCAAATCAAACGAGAAATCTCCGTCATGAAAATGGTGAAACATCCAAACATTGTCGAGCTTCATGAAGTTATGGCAAGCAAAACGAAGATTTACTTCGCCATGGAGTACGTTAAAGGTGGCGAATTGTTCGAAAAAGTAGCTAAAGGTAAGCTTAGAGAAGACAATGCTCGAGGCTATTTCCAGCAGTTGATTTCTGCAATTGATTTTTGTCATAGCCGTGGTGTTTATCACAGGGATTTAAAGCCTGAGAATTTGTTGTTAGATGAAGAAGGTAATCTTAAGGTAACCGATTTCGGGCTTAGTGCTTTTACTGATCATTTAAGACAAGATGGTTTATTGCATACAACTTGTGGTACTCCTGCTTATGTTGCCCCTGAAGTACTTGGTAATCATGGATATGATGGTGCAACATCAGATATTTGGTCATGTGGAGTAATTCTTTATGTGCTTTTAGCTGGTTTTTTACCATTTCAAGATGATAATATTATGGCTATGTATAAGAAAATTCACAAGGGTGATTTTAAGTGTCCACCTTGGATGTCATCTGATGCAAAAAAGTTGATAGTAAAGATGTTGGATCCGAATCCGAGAACTCGGATTACTGCTTCAAAGATTATGGAGTCTAATTGGTTCAAGAAGACTGTGCCAAGGACTATGAGGAGTAAGGAGGAGGAAGAGTTTGCTCATGTGGGAGATGAAGATTGGGTAGGAAAGGTGAAAAAGATTGAGTCTTTGAATGCTTTTCATATCATTTCTTTGTCGGAGGGGTTTGATTTGTCTCCGTTGTTTGAGGAAAAGAAGAAGAAGGAGAAGGAACAGTTGAGATTTGCAACAACAAAGCCAGCTAGCAGTGTGATTTCGAAGCTCGAGGAAGTGGCTAAAACGTCGAAATTCAGCTTAAAGAGGAGTGATTCTAGTGTTAGATTGCAGGGGAAAGAGAGTGGGAGGAAAGGGAAGTTGGGAATTTCTGCTGATATATTTGCTGTGACACCTTCATTTCTGGTTGTGGAGGTGAGGAAAGCTTGTGGTGACACATTGGAATATAATCAGTTCTGCAGCAAAGAGCTTAGGCCAGCACTCAAGGACATTGTTTGGAAATCAGCACCTGAGAATCCAACAATTGCTTGAGTTAATAAAAGCTACTATTAGATTCATGTGTTAGAGAACTTGAATTTGTTTAGTTTTGTTCTTTTTGTTATTGCTTAGATGTGTTCTTGAAATTGAGACTTAATCTCTGAAGTATGTCTCTTGAATTCATGTGTTCGAGAGATGGAATTTGTTTAATTTTTGTTCTTGTTCTTGTTGTTTAGATGTGTTCTTGAAATTGAGACGGAGTCTCTTGAATTCGTGGTTGAGTGATTGAATCGTTTAGTTTTGTTCTTGTTCTTGTTGTTAAATGTATTCTTGAAATTGAGACTGAATCTCTTGAATTCGTGTTTGAGTGATTGAATCGTTTAGTTTTGTTCTTGTTCTTGTTGTTAAATGTATTCTTGAAATTGAGACTGAATCTCTTGAATTCGTGTTTGAGTGATTGAATCGTTTAGTTTTGTTCTTGTTCTTGCTGTTAGATGTATTATTGAAATCGAGACTTAATCTCTGAAGTATGTCTCTTGAAATCATGTGTTTGAGTGATTGAAACGTTTAGTTTTGTTCTTGTTGTTTGATGTATTCTTGAAATTAAGACGGAATCTAAAGTATGTCTCTTGAATTTGTGTTAAGAGGATTGAATTTGTTCAGTTTTATCCTTGTTCTTGTGGTAGAAAGCTGAACCAGGAGTATCCCAAATCACTATAACATCTTCATCCTTGTAACCCCATATGCTATTATATTTTGATTAGGGGCCTACTTATACCTTTATACACATGGGAGTACCTTATCTTGTCAATTTGCCCCTTCATTACAAAAAATAGTCAAATTTGGTGACTACTTTTAGTGTTTACTTCAGTGGGGTCTTCGAGTGGGGTGAAGTCGTAACAAGATAGCCCGTATGTGAACTTGTGGCTAGATTGAATCCTTCGCAATGGACATATATTCTTGAGATTGGGACTGAATCTCTGAAGTATTGTCTCTAGAATTCATGTGTTGGAAGAGGCTTGTATTTGTTTAGTTTTGGTCTTGTTCTTGTTGTTAGATGTATTCTTGAATTTGAGACTGTATCTTAATTATGTCTCTTTGTTTTTTATTCAGTGTTCGATGTTCACATTTGACCCTAATTAATCTTAAATTCATGCTCAAAAAGATAGGGTACTGCTATCTTGTTTTTTATTTTATGGAGTGCTTTTGTTGGTGTGATGGCAATTTGCTTTTCTTTGGTAGGCGTTGGCCTGATAATTTAACAGCACTTTGTCCCCTTCTCATTTCTTATCCATGTTTTACTTGTATGATTTTGAAGAATGACTATTATCAATTTGGTGCCAAGGGTCTTTCAAAAATAATCCATTTATTTCTATGAGATAAGAGTAAGGTATTCGTATACTCTATTCTTCCAATACTCCACTTGTAGAAACACAAAGGTATGTTGTATTATCAACTTGAATTTAAGGTGAAAAGGACCTCCCACAGGTGATTGGTGCAATCCACGAAAGATTCGTATCGACTTCTTGTGCGATGTGTTGGTGGAAAGTAGCATATACCTAATAAAAATAGTCCATTCAATGAAAAGAAAATAGGAAACAAGCAAAAAAATAAAACTTGAGGATGAATTTATATGACAAGGTACATTTGAATACAACAACAATAGATTATAGAAAGTTACTTACCAAGAACTCTTGAACAAGATAAACCAGTTGAATAAGAGGTGTAATTTGACAAACAACAATCTCTCTGCACATTGAAGAACTTGACATGTTTTCTTCTGGATCATACATTCACTTACGATTAGAGGTGAATCCAAAATTTAAAGATATAGATATTCAATGAACAAATATATACAGGATTTGCTCCGAAGTAACTGAATTCTGGCCCGTACTTTCCATGCTAGCTCCGTCCCAAGGCCTATCCTGGCAAGAGAACCAGACTGAATCCTATCGTCTAACTCAAATTCCTGCTTTGTGGATCTGCTGCTGACTTTAAAACACAGCTCAGTTAGTCTGAATCCACAGATATATCTCCATTAAAGGAATGTAATTTGCCTGTCATTCTGCAGTTACCTTGAGCATGTTATTCCATAATTGTATCAACCACGTCCAAGGTGAACTCGGCGCAAGTAGCTCAGTTAGATCACTGATGCTTGCAGCTGGAATATTGGTAAAGCTGTTACCACAAAGATGATAAGTACACAAGATTACATAGGGTGCCTCCAGCCTCTGTCTGAGATATTGCAGTGACTAGTATCAAGCATTGTCAATGAACAAAGACTCGATAAATTAGACCCGTGGAGTTTTGACCTTTTCCTGGAAGCCAAAAGGAGAAGAATGAGCTGTTTACTTGTAAACCCAAAGCATTACATCCACGAAAAGACAAGTGTTCGGATGGCTGTGCCATCACAGCGGAGCTCCTCTAAGCCCGTTAAAAGTCCCACATCATCTGATATTTTTTCGAGTCTTGAGCACCCGAATAGAGCAAGTGTTCTTAAGACACTTCAATCTAAAAATACTGCTTGGGAGATTCTCAAGATGCTTGCAGTAACTAAGATTTATCAAATATTCAAGCTAACCCCTGGAAGGTTCTCAAGTGATGCGCGTACCTCTCCCAAAGAAGCTCCATCCAAGTACACTTTTGAAAAGCGATTCATTTCTTCTTCTATTTTTTCAGGAACTTTTCGAGTTTTAAGCAGGCTGATAGAATCAAAACCTTAACACTTTCAAGATTACTGGTACCTGAAAAATCCGGGGTCCTTACTAGCTTCTGTGATTGGCTAGGTTGATGAAACAAATCAACCTTACTAGAACCTGTCATACTGAAACAAATCAAACAGCAAGAAAGCAAAACAGCCAGATAATTAGTACTCCGACTATATATAAACGTTGGAGCCTTGCCAAAGTTGTGTAATTCGGCTATCTTTCAACTTCAAACCAACAAGCTTTTCTCCCCCGAAAACTAACAGACAGACTTCTTGATGGACATCCAACTCAACTCACCATGAAGAAAATCAGGACCCTGACGAACATTTGTATTTTGGATACTGAGAAACTGCACTGCTGACATTCACTTCTTGTGCAGAATCCAAGTTCAGTCACATGCCTTCGATCTTTTCAGTGCCCTGATTATTAAGAAAGAACAATCAGGCAAAAAGGAAAATTGGAGAAAGAAGTTATAAAGTTACATCATACATCAGCTGCTGCTTGAACTAATAACTAATTAGAAATCATCATTTGTGCACTATGTTGCTCGGACTCTCCAAAGTTGATGCCGCACACGTATTGGATCCTACGAAAATGCACTACTTTTGGAGGATCCAACATGCACCCACCGCCATTTTTAAAGAGTCCGAGCAACATAGTTTGTGCAAACACTTATCAAATCTCCTCCAAGTACATGAGAAATATTCCCAGGCATCCACAACCTACTATATCTTCTTGAATCATCCGAAGCATCTTGTCGAATAATATACCAACCGATTTCTTGTATCGATTGATGCATTAAAATCCGACCTTGTGTAACCATAATCAGAGATTTCTCCATGAGAACCTTTATGCCAATAACAGGACTAAAATTAAAACTCTCTTATATTCTTATCACTGATTCTTTCTTCTTCCCTTTAAAGAAACACACAATATCTAGTAATATGGCTTTTGTTAACTTGACGAAGCCGATGTTTATACTCAACAACATGTGTGCTACATAACCAAAGAGCATAAAGAATAAGTTTTAAAACTGAAAGAAGCCTTATAGGAATTAAAGCATCTTCAAGACCATGGATTTCAACTTTTACCATTTATACACATAAGAACACTTTTTGATAAGGAAGATGGAAATGGAGGTATTTCCTTCATTTCATAATATATAATTGATGAGGGGGTGAATTCTTTTCCAAAGGATTTAACCGTTCCCATCCTTTGCTCATGTTGTCTCCTATAGAGATAGATTGATATGGGTTTTCTACTTCTTATAACCTATCCATTTCTACTCAATTGTTCAACGAGTGCTATAATGATCCAAGGGAATATATATCTCCTGGCTCAACATTAGTCAACATTGTGTGGTGTCACATACCATGTAGACGACAACCACAACTATCAAAGTTTAAATATATATGTTCAAATGAATTTCACCCAAGGATGTGCCTATTAATAGTGGTCAATAAAGTGAGAGGAGAACTACGAGATCTCAAGTTCATACCTCAGAGGAGGCAAGGTGTTTTGTTCTCATTTGTTAAGCCTTGGCGGACAAAGTTACCCGATGGGCTGGTACATATGTTGTAGAGGTATCAGGTATCCGATGAAATGAACGAGGTGTGCGCAAACTACCTGGCCCTGACATCACCGTTATTAAAAAACATTTAGTGAATTCAAGAAAGTGATGGCATGAAAATAACAGTTATCACATATCTTCTAATATCTTAGCATTGGAGCGAAGCAATATGTTGATGGCATTCATCTCAAGAAGTTTATACAAGTTACATACAAGAAAACTTTAAAGCAGAATAGCAAGTCAAGCCACAGTATATGATCGCAAGAGTACCACTGGCTACTATTTCATGGAAGACACAACAAGAGTATGGCATCGATACAATATTCTACGTAATCTGGAAGCATCAAGAAGAAAGAAGTAGAATTCACTTGTATCAAGACTATGATCACTTCACTTCACTGACATATTTACTAAGGCATTAAAGTATGAGGGCAAGATTTAGTTGGTTCATATATTTTTTCGGGTTCTTAGTTCCCCTTCTCCATTTACCACTATCAACTGTTAACACCATCCATTAAACAGCCAAAGCAGACTTCAATTACCAAAACAAACAATCTAAATCCACCAAGACAAAAATGAAAGTTAAAGTTCTTAATGCTATATTTGTTCAATCAAAACCAAGTCCCCAAATTTTGATTAGTCAATTAGATCTATCTGGACAAAGGAATCACTAAGAAATGCATGTGAAAAACAAACGACAAAACCGAAAAAGATGTGAAAACCAAACCAAATAAAAAACTAACATGGTTGATTTGAGTTCATATTTATGGAAACTGAATCAGACCGAACCATGAACATCCTTAGACACGAGAAATGAGAACTATGTTATTTCTTCGGGAGGAAAGCTATTATTCCATGAATGAAGTAACCAAATCGAGCCAAGGTCCTATTTCATTCGAAGATGCATCAAGAAGATAGAATTCAAACTCATTTATATCAAGACTTTGATCAAGTAAGTCATATATTTTCTATGGCCACAATGAGTTATGACGACTTTGCAAGATTTCGTCTTTTGATGGAGTCCCAAGCTAAGACGGAAGTTTAACAAATGAAGTTGATAAATTTAATTAGTACTTTACATTCTCGGTTCATTGGAGCAAATCAAGCAACAAGAGGAAATATCAACTCTACATATGTGTTCTTCCTTCTAACCTTCTCTTTTTTACCACTTTCCCTCCGCCATATCTTTAGGGAGAGTTGGACTTTATGTATCGTAGTGTACTAGTTTGATTGTTCAAAGCCATTATATAGGTCTTTTAAGTCTTTTGCAGGATTACACTTACTTAAGAGTACATAAGAACTTGGATGATTGATGGAAGAAAGTACTCAACTCATCGATATATATGTCAAAGGTGATTAATTTAATTATAGACTATTGATTTTCTCCATCTGAAAATTTCGAACTTGTTGGCAAATGGCAACACTGAATGGGGTGAATCAAATGAGTACTACTGGTTTTGTATTTCTTAAGGAAGACGCGACATTTACTTTGTGTTCAAAAAAGAAACCTCTGCAACTGTTTCTACTTTCGAAGATAATAATGTCACATTAGCCTCATTCATAGTGCAATTTGAGTTCAGAAATTGTTGGAGATGCTACATACATGTCACAACAGATCGAAACCTACCGTATTTATGTAGACAATAACTCTACTATTGCTTTTTGGGCAAAACCTATATTATACAAATGAAAGCAAGCACATCACTGCAATATTCCATTTCATTTGAAAGCATCAAGAAGAAGGAAAGTAGAACTCACTTATAATCGGCAGAAGTATGAAGATTATACGAATGCATCTATTTAGCAGCAGGTTCATCTGAGCATAGTACTTCCAATGCGGAACATAAATTTATGTGTAACAAATCACTGAAATTGCAATAAATAGTAAAAATTACATAGGGTTCAATGCTAAAAATCTTAAAGGTTGAACCTAGAAAGCTTAAATCCTGAATCTTTCTCCACATCTACTCCAACAATTTCTTTTCTATGCAAAATTCTACTAGGTCCTCGCGAAGTCTCACTATGTAACATATCCCTCGATTTATTAGTAGAGATAAACATCTTTACTGCTTCAAGTTACAGTAACATATCTCTATGGTATCACTAATTCCACCAAAAACAAAAGTAGACTCAAAACTAAATCCCCAAATCTTGACTACTCAAATAGATCTGTTTGAAACAAAAGTTGTCACTTCAAACTCAATCACCCAATTTCGAAAGACACAAACTTGAAACTATATTGTAGCCACACTGATAACATTAAGGATTATATGCTAAAGTTAGCAGCTTTGTATACACCCAAAACCTATATGCTCAAACTCTTCAAAAATGTCAACGAGTGCGTGTCAGACATCACTTTTAGGGGATTCGACACGAGTCCAATAACATTTTTAGAAATTCCAAGCTATATAGCCCAAAACACAACATAACCATTACAATTAAAACCTAAACCACAAGCTCCTAATAGGGAACTGTCTTTTTATTGAGAAAAAATAACAACTTTAAAAAATTTATCAAATATAAAAGCTCACAATTTGAAGAAACTCCTAACCTGTAAGAGGAACTTTTTCAACTTCCATTAATAGCAATATTCAAAGTTCTATTCTTTACTAATTTTTCTTCCTTGCCCTCTGCAAAAGAACCAAAAAAACATATATAATTACTTCATAATATTGAAAAGAAATCAGCTCATCAAAACCTACATAAAATATAACATGATCCCACATATAAAAAATAAACAAATCCGTAGCATTTCAATAAACAAATCAACTTACAACACAGATTTCATGTCATCCTATATACTAGTGTCGGTGGCGGCACCAGAATTTTCACTAAAAAGTTCAAAATATAAAAAAGTAAACATGCAAAGAAGTTAAAAGGTTTCAATATCTATTATATATATTCATATAAAAGATAATTTTGATAACATATATAAATAGTATAATTTTCAGCCAAAGAAGATTCGGATATACCCCTTTTCCCTACTTGACTCCATCACTACTCAGTATAATTCTCACCCTATGACCTTTGTATAGGAGTATAGAGATTGTTTTCGATACGCCCTCCACTCATAGTACCAAATTAATCCTCAAAATACAAATAAAAATATGAATATTTGCAGTTTTTTTTTCTGTTAAAATGAGAACAGTAAACAGGGTTACCTTACAAATCCACAAAACCTCAAAACTGGAAACTTTACTTTTCTTGATCTGCTGCTGCTAGATATTTTCCAACAAAAAAAAATAACTACTAGAATATTAAAGTTTTAAACTTTGTAAAAGATAATATCAATACAGAAATCCCAAAAAAAAATTTAAAAAAATTGGTTCAATAGTCAATGTGAATTATTTTTTTCTGGTCAATGTCATGTCTATGTCTAGGGTGCTATAAAAGAGAGAATTCCTTTTTGCTACCTAAATTCATTGTATCCATCTTTTTCACATTTTTCTGTAGTTCTGCGAGTTCAACTGAGCAAAAAGTTCAATATATATATATATATATATATATATATATAATCACATGGATTATGAAATCACTAACCTATAGATCTTCAATTGAGAGATTTATATCATATTGATATCGAGATAAATTTTGAATTTGATTCGAAATAAATATTCTCTATCTTTCTTCGTATAGGGGGAGTATGCTACTATATCTCTACTCTAGAAAACTATATAGATAATATTCAATGTTGTGCTTTTTGACCTTGACGAATTTTCACTGAGAGAATTCGATAATTAATATCAAATAAATTCCTTTCCACTCACTATTCCCAAAATTCACCCTAATAAAAAACAAAACTGGTAAGTCTACCTGGCGGTACACCATAGGTTAGGCCAATCCGATCCTCTTCCACTAGGGTTTGACTCATAGCATTTCTCCCTTTTAACACAATTGAAACCAAAAAAATCTCACAATACAATCTAAATCTAACTCATGTACCATTTGACCCTTCCTAGAGAGATTGACAGAAAGAGAAGTGAGCACTCGCAAAATTATATATACAATATATATCAAGAAAATTAAGTAAAAATATTTATATAATTATATGTGTATGCTCACTCTCTTCTGTCAGTCCCTCTCTTCCATGGCCATTGAATTTCAGATCTCTCAAAGAGAAAAAAAAACCACTAAAATAACAACTATTTTGACTATGTTATATAAGTAAAAAAAATGGTACTTTTGTACAATCTGAATTGTCAAATAGTAGTAGTATTTTATATAATGATGATGCACATTAACCCTACACATTTAAAGGTGCTGTTAAAATGTCATGTGGATAGTACAAATGCATCTTTTCACTACTTTGTTTAATTTTTGGTCCAAGACGAAGTACAAAACAAGTTCATTTAGCTGACGTTTATTGGAAATTAAATAAGTGGGGACTCTTGTGGCCATTGATTGGTTGCTTTAAAGTTTTTGGGGTAACATGGTTTGGTCGAAAACAAGTTATCTCGAGATTAATGAAATAAGATATTTCATATTGTATATGTGATAACTTATTCATTACTAAGGGGTTGTGTTGGTTGGGAACAAGTTATTTCGGAATTAATTATGTCGAGGGATAAGTTAATCATATGGGATAACTTATCATCACTATGATATGAATGGTGGGATAAATAGTCCAATGACTATCTAATACCTCCAACAAAACGTATGAATTAAGATAAAATAATTTTGCATTTTATCCTAGGATTATTATATTTTAGGCTTAAGTCATCGGCGATTCCTTAAAGTTGTCTGCATAATTCATTTAGACATCTCAACTAGGGCTCGTACCTATTGAACACCTAAATTGTTCAAGACAAGTACCTATTAAACACAAAATGCTAATGTGGCAAAATAAGTGTATCTCACTGCTGCTAAGCGCGTGAATGCATTTTTTTATATTTTTTAAAAATAAATTTGTACCTACTTTCTTGACACTTGGTATGCATTGACTAAATAAATAAAAAAATAATTTAATTAAGCATTAATCTTTTAAATGATTAAAAAAAAACTCACCCCCAAATCCATGTGCAAGTCATCTTCTTCTTCAACCCACCATTTTAAAAAACTTCAAATTTCTCTGCCTTTTGTTTTGATTCATTTTTTTTTCATTTTCTGTAAACAAATTGCCTGTTGAATTTGCAAGAAGAAGAAAAAAAAAATCGACTATTGGAGTTAAAAAGTTGACCAATATTTGTGCATCTTTATTTTCAATAACTCCGATCGAGCAACCATCACCATTCATTAAACTTATTAAAAATGTTATAAATTTTTTTGATATGTCGATTTCGAAATAATTTATTGAGGTCGATTATTTTTACAAAAATCTTAATAGCCGCCGGAGGAATAGAATAAAACGGAGAAAAAGAAAGAGGAAAGGATTTGGTGGGTGAATTCGGGATGAGGTGGGGCTAGACATTTTTTTTTTGTTATCGCCGGAGGAATCAATGGTGACTGGCGATGGCAGAATGACAGAGAAGAAGATGAAGAAGAAAGGGCAATAGGTTAGGTGGGGGTGGGGGAGAGATTTTTTTTTTTATCAATTTAATTATTTCTATATTATTAAAGGCAGGAAATTATTTTTTATTTTTCAAAATTAAAATTATGGGCCCATGTGTCGTAATTCTATTCGTGATTTTGTCAAGATAATGTGTGTGAATTACACGCACAATATTTTTAAAACTAGCTGTCATTTTATGTTCAATAGATAAATATTCGTTAATATTAAAGTGTTTAATAGGTAAGAGTCTCAATTGGAGCAAATGACATAAATGGTCCCTAAACTATCCTAGTAGGTCTAAAATAGTCCTTTAACTATACAGTTGATTGATATGGTCATTTAACTATCTACCCTTTTGTCAAGTTTGGTTTCCATCCACTTTTTTTAAACAATTGTTAGTTAACACCGTTAACTCAATCTGTCGATATACAACCATCCAAACAAAGTGTAAATCCCAACGGAAAGAAGAATATGAGTTAATGATACTGATCTCTCCACGCCTCTGTTTCTTGCTTTTCTGTGGGGATAAGACAATTAAGAAGAAGAAGAACCAAAACGAAAGATTGAGACAAATAAATCATCAAATTTGATAGAATCCATGGCGATGGGAAGTGGGTTTAACCAAGAAACTAGAACTGGAGCATTTTTCATGGCCACACTGCTCATTTGGGTTTTCTCAGTTTTGTGGAAAATACTAATTAACAAGCGCAAGGAACTGTTCCCAATCGTTCTGGGTTTCATTTTCTACCAATCGGCCAATTGGGTCATCCCCAAATTGCTACGAAATCGCGATCCCCTATTTGTCAACACTTGTGTATCTCTCCTCCATTCATCCACTACATCTGCTTCAGTGCTCTTCATTTTGGTCAATCAATCGATGATTTCAAATGGGGTAAATGAAAATCAGATGTTTGAACATTCACAACTTGTTGAACATACATGGCCATGGGCATTTACAACTTTATGCTTTTCGTGTGGTTATTTTGCTTATGATCAATTGGATATGCTCCTAAATCGATTGACTTAACGGTGTTAACTAACAGTTTTTTTAAAAAGTGGATGGAAATCAAACTTGACAAAAGGGTGGATAGTTAAAGGACCATATCCGTCAACTGTATAGTTAAGGGACTATTTTAAACCTACTAGGATAGTTTAGGGACCATTTATGTCATTTGCTCGTCTCAATTGAGGTGTCTAAATGAATTATGCGGACAAATTTAAGAGGCTATCGATGACTTAAGCTTATATTTTATATCTCACACCAAACGACTCATAAGATATAAATAGTGAGATAAATAATCTTAGGACTACCTAATATACCTCCAATTAGTATGGAGGATAAAACAGTCCTTCATTTTATTTCTGGGATTATTATCTAGTATACCTCACACCAAATAACTCTTTAGAGTTATGTATTATTCCTAGTAATGCTGAGATTAATTATAAAGTCATTTGTTTACTTATTATTTAATTTATTTTATTTTTCATAAAATATTATATAGATTATCTCATAACTTATATGTAAATTAAGTATGGTAATTTCTAATTAAATTGCAAACCAAATACATAAATAACTTATATCCTAAATAGCTATTAGACATAATATTACTTGTGCATAATTTAATGTATAACGTACCTTTATACCTCCAAATCAGCTCCAGATAACCCTTACTTGATATTCGAATTTGTAACAAAATTTGATTATATTTAAATTTGTGTTGAAAAATCTTACCTAAAAAAATAAAATATTCTTTAATTAAGATAACTTTATATTCCGTAGGACTCGAACCCGATAACTTTAATGTCCCTATGCATGATGAAAAGATGTCTTCTGAAGTTGGAAACCCTATGAACATGCTTGCGTTTACTTTTCAAAGAATAGTGACTACTAAAATGATCAAGTTAATCACTTTTACCAATGTGCTCAAGTTAATCACTTTATCCAAAACAGTGATTAGACAAACTTGAGTAATCACTATATACTAATACTAATACTAATTAGTGGTTAGACTTAGCATCAATCAAGTGACTAGTCACTAGTGTATATCTGAACATGTTTCTAACTTTTTTATTGTTATGGCCCAAAAGTTTCTTTTTCTAAAAAAAAAATGGTGTATGATTAAATTATCGTACTGCAAATTCAATTGTTCAAATTGAAACCCGTCAATCAAATTCAGAAAAATCAACATATATTAATACAGACAAAGGACACTCATAATCATGAATTCATGTATCACGATCCCAAAACACCAAAAAATGTTGTTTGTCAGGGCAAATATGGATCACCAGATCATTTTTTATTGATCGATCAAATTTCAAGCCAATCAAAGTTTGTTGATCAAATTCACGAAAATCAACTAACATGTACTAATACATATAGTAAGCATCCATAATCATGAATTCATATTTCAGGATCTCAAAACACCAAAAAAAAACATTGTTTGTCATATAAAGTATTAATTATCATGCCATTTCCAATGGATCAACCAAATTCCAGACCAATCAATGTCTGTCAATCAAATTCAAGAAAATCAACAAGTACTAATACACAAAAAAAAATCAAATCATAAATTCGTGTTCATGACCCCACAATGTAGAAAAAACAATGTTGTCATAGTAACTCAGTGAGTATTGGTCACTAGGTCGTTTCCGATAAACCGGTCAAATTTCACCTATAGGGGATGAAATTGAAAAATATAAAGTTGAAATTGGGCTTACATTAAATTTCAAATAGCCCATGTTGTGTAGACTCTTTGGCCCATTTTATTTGGGCAAGTAAAAATCATAGGGACAAAAACTAAAGCTTTTTTTTTTTTACAATTTCTCTCACTGTATTAGTTTTCTTCCCTTAGCTTCCTCTTTTGGTTGTCAATGGCGTTGGAAGCATACGCATCACAAAATACTGATAAAATTCATACAGATGTTCTTTCACAAGCTCGAATTTCTTGTTACAAGGTATGATTTTGCACTATTTTTTGCATAATTTTTTGTTCTTTAAGGTCCAAAAATGTATATGTTGATCAATCTTGATTAGTGGCGGAGTTAAGATTTTGAGTTTATGGGTTCGTGATTCTAAAGTCCATAGATTAATGGGTTATTGATAATATTTGTAATGAACCAACACCCCTTCGCCGGAAAATTATACTGTTTAGCTAAGTTAAAGTTTAGTTCTTTTAGAAGCCTGTGATTGGTCCAAAGGGCAGCAGGTCACAGACAGATTTATCGAGTATCAAAAAAAATAAAGTAGTTCTTTTATATACATTATGTTGACACCCCCTTTGTAAATTTTTTGGCTATGACCCTGATCTTGATAAAACTAATTGAAGCTATTAAATTGTTGTTTTTAAAAGGCAAGAGATGCATTTTATTCATGTTTGGAGAAAGAATCGAACAAGGAACCTACAGAAATCGCGACAGTTGGGCTTTTATACCCTGTTGAATGCAAGAAAACCAGGGAGGAATATGTGAAACAATGTAGACCTACTTGGGTAAGGTTATTAAAGCTAAAAACTTTATGGATATCAGTTCTTTTTACTATATGGATTGTGGGATTTTAGCTTTTTTCTTGATGTATTGGTGTTTATTTGTGTCGGTCATAGGTTAAGCATTTTGATAGGCAGTATTGTGGTAAGAAGAGGGTTCAGAGACTTTTGGATGATAATGACTCAAGGAGAGGTGTGTTTTTACATCCTGAATTTTATACTTGCACTTATGTTCATGCTGATAGCCCCATGTGTTTATTGCTATATTTGATATAGACTATCGAGTTTTCCAAGTGCCAAGCTCAAATTGGTAAAGTTTGCATTTTTATAGTGAATGGGGAACTCCCATTTCACTTCTAACATTTGTTTAAGTTAGTATAAATCAATTTTTTCAAAGGTACGCTTAAAGGTTGTCATCAAGGATCTGAGACATACTTTTCCTTGCGAATGAGCGTAATCATGAAGAAGTGACTCTAACCAATTGATGTTTACTTTTATCTTCTTTTTTTCTTTTCAATTTAGTTGTCCATATATTTGTCATTCACGCTTTATAATTATTAGTCTTGTACTACACATACATATTTGTATTTTCTTCCCTCCATTTGCGCCTTTCATCATTAAAGTTCACTCCTTATTTGCACTTAAATCACCAACAAACATTAGAGTTCTTTTGCGCTATTCGCCTGTGATAACAATGGTATATATGAGCTCAAGAGAGGCATGGCCTGATTCAAAGGGTCCTCCACCTCCAACAATGAGGTTCAAGGTTTGAGTAACCTAGGGAGCAAAAACTCCTGGGAATGTGTTATTTTTAGGGTGGGGGTGTCAGGTTCATATTAAAAAAAGAAAAACAATATAAAGGAGATATATGTACGTGCAAGCATCAAATAAATTGTGACATTAATAGTTCTGATATCTAGTTACTTTTGAACTGCTATCCTAATTGGTGTTTCGAGTTTGCCTGTTTAATTTTCATGTGAGTGATTGATAGCAAGTCTTGATTAGTAAGAATTAGCTGTTTATTCTTTCTCCTTTTCTCAAGAGTGTGTGAAGAGTGTTTTGATGGATTTATTGGCTTGGGTTGAACTATTCTTGCAGGGGTTTAAAGCTTGGTTTTAAGGAAGAGGCTAGTGCATAACTCATTGTCGTGGTAAATTTATTGGCTGATTCTTGCTTTGAATGTTCCGAATTTCCATATTAGAACAGGAGTACTAAACATGTTGAATTTCTAGGGATCAACCATTTGAGTGACCTGCTTCTTTTCATATTGGTGACTTGTTCTACGTGAGTTTAGAAGATCCTGAGACTGTATTTTACTTGCAGAGTGCAAGTAAATGTAATGCGGAGTCTCTGCCTTCAGAATAGGAGTTCAACTCTTATAGTTATACAGTTTCTTGAGTGAAGTACTTTTCTGCTACTCTTTTCAGTTTAGTATGCAGAGTGGTATTTATTTGGATTAGGATCTTTATTCTTTTGCTTTTGTTCTTATATGGTCAAAGTTGAACATGTTTTACAAGGCTGTCATAATGCCACTATGATGGAAGTTGATTGATTTATAACAAGTGAAACCATTTTGATGTTCTTTGAAATGTGAAACTAAGGGGAACTTTTGTCTATTCTTACTGAAAAACAAGGTAAACAATTTATGTTATTGTGACTTCTTCCTCTACGAAGTGAAAAAATACATTACTTTTACTAAGCTGTTTTTACTTTCCCTGCTAACTGCTACAACAACATACCCAATGTAACCCCCAATGTAATCCCACTAGTGGGGTTTGGGGAGGTTGGGGTGTACGCAGACCTGACCCCTAGTCCCTACTTGTAAGATAGAGAGGTTGTTTCCGATAGACTTTTCCTACTAATTGCTATAGTTAAAAAATGCCATGTCGAAAAGTACCTAAGGTTAGTGTTGGCATAATGAAGAAAGTCACAAAACTTATCCCCAATAAAGCACTTGAATGGTGGATATGTATTTTAAGAGAGTTACTTGACTGATGTTTTGAGCGATTGAAACAAAAGAATAGGAACTCCAATGGCTACTAAGAGGTAGATAGATTAATGCTAGAAACTAAGGAAAAGGATCTGTTTAGGCCTAGCTAGTTTGCTTGGATCCTTCAAAAATGTCATCGAGTGTTTCAGATCCTTGAAAGTTACTTATTTTTTGAGGATCCGATACAGGTGCGGCGACATCAGTATTTCAGAGAATCCGACTAACATAGCTTTTAGGTTCTCAAGGAGGCATCAAGCCAAGACTTACTAGTTTGCTTTTTTAAAAAAATTATTATTTGCAGTGGTTTCTGTCTTTACTGTGTATTTCAGAGTTGCGTATCACTGCGAACTATTTTGGTCTATCAACGTATGAATGATCAAGAGCTTTCTCAAAGTTACTATTTTCCTTCTATTGTATTTAGGAAAATCTAGTATAAATCCCTGATACACTTGAGCCGGGGCCTCTTTATAGTGTACTTAGACCAAAATGTTAAAGAAGAAAACCATAGGCAACAAGCAAACTTCAGCTTCCTCCTACATTCTTGGGACGTTGTTCTAATTTATGTTGCTCAGATTCTCCAAAAAAAATGCGCACTCGTGTGGGATCCTCCAAAAATGAATTACTATTGGAGGATCCGGCACACACCTAGCGGCAACATAGGTTCTAATGATGAAACTAGTTGTTCTAATAAGGCATCTGATGATGCAGATTTTTCTTGGAGATTTCTTCCCTCTCTCTGTGTTTCTACTGATATCAACACACTATTTGTCAATGTTACTTGCATTTGTCCTGTGACATTATGTGATTTTATCAGTGATGCTTCTTGACAGTTGAGAAGCTACTTCAGCTGAAACTTCTAGGTGATATCATGATCAATTATTTTCTTAAGCTCCCAGCAACATGAAAGAATTATCACGTATGAAGTCGAGAAAGGAGTATAGTGAACAAATTAATGTCTTGGGAGGGGAACCCCAACTCTATAGTTTACATTTTTGTATAGGAAGTTACAGACACATTTGCTAGCTGCATGTGATTGTAACTCTAGAAAATCTTGATTTTGTGCTTCCGAAACAATTGGACTTTGTGTTTACAAGTAGTCCTGTGTTCTCATTAGCTATCTGATCCCTCTGTTCAGCCTCCAACGCTAACGATTAATGAAGTGAGTGAAAATCATGGGCAAGTACACTAGCTGATTTATTCCTATTGCCCAAGTATGTGAATTACTAGGTAATCATGCTGGTAGGTACCACAGAACTCAATTATGTGTTATAGATGTTATTAAAAACAGATAACATGACCAAAAACTATAATAAAGCACAGGTAAAAGACTCAAAAAGTGAATTGTGATTGCAATGTGAATCACTACAGAAATAATAACTCTAATTGAATTTTCAAGATTAAGAATAATGTAGGCAGTCATGTGTTTGTGGGAAAAACTGAAGCTCTACAGAAAGGACATGATTTTTTCCTCTGCAGCCACTTGTTGATGCATTCAGCATGAAATTCATGGCCACATTGAAGTGTGCCAATGTTATCTTCATCTTTATATTCAAGTAGGCAGATAGCACATGCTTCTTGTTCCTCATCATTACCATCTTCGTTGGCGTCTATGTCCATAACACAAGTAACATAACATGTACTTCTTTCGAAATACTCAGACATATCTTGATCCACAAACTCATTAATATCGTCTTCCTCCACCACTTCCTCTTCTTGTTGTTCGACTTCAATTTCATCAGTATAGGTGTCATCAAGAGCCGATTGTGGCACTTGAATATTGTAACGAAAGTAGTTAGTATTCACTTGCATTCGAGCTGTCCTAGTCCGTCTTCCACTTGTTTGCTGGTAGCCTTCACTAAGCAAATGTATATCATACTCCATTCTTGTTTGTACAAACCACCCAGACTCCATTGTTGCTTCCATATTTTCAACATCCTCCTCTTCTTCTATAATTTCTTCATCAAGAATCAACTCATTCATGGCTTCCTCTACCTCTTGCTCGTCTTCTTCCTTAGTTTCTTCATCAAGAATCAACTCACTCACGGCTTCCTCTACCTCTTGCTCGTCTTCTTCCATAATTTCTTCATCCGACAACTCCTCCTCTTCTTCTTCTTCTTCTTCATCAACAATATCACCAAGATTTGAATGCTCAAACTTAATACGAGACATGAAACTATAATCAACTGGAGGCAGGTGTTGTAGTCGATTCAAGAGAGGAGCATCAGGTGGTAGTGTACGAGTACAAAAACAGGGAACTTGATCGTGTTGAGACATGTTTCTTGAAGCTTTTTTTATGGCTGTGTTATGTGTTAGATTACGAGAAAAAAAGAAGTTAAGAATTGGAAATTAATGCAACTGTTGTTAATGTTAGGCATTTATAAGGAAAAAATATTTGTAGGAATTTGATTGGGAAAGGGAAATATTTATAAGAATTTGATTGAGAAAGGGAAGTGGGAATTAGTTTCCTTTTTGTTTCTTTTCTTTTTGCTTTCCCCCAAGTTTCTATAAAAATTGTTACACAAGACTTATAACATTTTTCAATTTTATTTAATTAAAATGTAATTTAGAAAATTACAGCACACGTTGAAATTTTTATTTTTAATCAGTATAAATGTAGAAAATTACAGCACACACTCGAATACCAGAGTCTTAAGAAAAAGAAAAAGAGGTTATTCACCAGTGTACTCGTATTTAAAATCACGATGTCATCGAACCACTCAAAGGCGGTAAAGAATAGTAGGATCTGTCTGTGCAGAATAAGAAGATGAAACTCCTCTATTTATAGATAACAAAAGATAGCGTGAATAGGTGCTTAATGTGCCTTATCGGAAAGGTCACACTCCTTTAGAAAAGTCAGAAGTTATAACTCTTCGTAAAAGTCACAACTTTGTGGAAAATTCACAACTCTTCATAAAAATCACAAGTTTTTAGACTAGTCATAATTCTTCCCAAAAGTTGCAACAAGTCACAACTCTTTATTTTTACCTTGTTGCGAATTAAATTTATCATATAAGTAATATGTAAAAAAAATTTACAGTTACAGCTCATTACCAACTATTGAACCCCCCCCCCCCCCCACAC